CCTAGAGAGGCTGGCCCAGGAGAGGGCAGGGTTCAGGGCCGTTATCCATAGGCTTTCTATGAGTCGCTGGCTGAGTTGCTTTAAAGCAGCAACCTTTTCAAAATTTGAGGAGGTGTGTGTTAATTTCTAGGTCAAAAAGGATAATTTTACTTTTTTTTCCTTTTGAAAATAGGGGAATAAGGATTTAAAGATTGCTTTAAATTTCATTTCCTTGCTTGTCTTTCTTCTTTTATTTTTTAATAGAAAAATGGAGATATTTCTTGATTAATATTCTTTTATGCATAATTTAGTGTTTACATTAAAAAAATTTAAAAGTAATTCCATTTTCTTTTATTTAAAAGAAAATGAAGTTGCTGTGCATCTGTGATTGCTAACTTTTTTTTTATGCCTCTGTTACTCTTAAATGATGATTTTTATTTTATAATAATGCCCCAGAATAATAAGACCATTCTCAAGTCTCTCTTTGTTTATGGTCCAACTCTAACATATTTGCATTTATGTTGTTGTTAATTTATTACATTAAATTCTGTAAATTTTGAGAGGGTTCAGTAAGTCTCCCTAGCTTCTTTTTCATAGATTTCCCTTCTCCAGCATGAGAGTTAACATAATTTTTATCATGGCACCCACAATGCACTGTATATCATTCATTTATTACTAACAGAAAGTGGAATTTAAAAGTCCTTTATTTATGTTTTGTACATGTTGAGTTTGAGATGAAAGTGGGAAATCCACATGGAAATTTCCAGTTGGCAATTAGACATGAAAGATTCTCTTCTCTTTCATAGGGAACATTATAGAATGAAAGATAAATTATGTCATTCCAGTGCTCTCATAACCCCCTCTGTTGATTCTTTAACTCATTTAGAGTGAAGCTGAGGTTTTTGAAGTTTCTTTGATGGTATTATGTGATGTACCCTACAGTTAACCTTCCAACTAGAAGTTAACTTTTCTACTCCTCTACTCCCAGTTCTAGTTACGCTGACCTCTCATGTTGCTCAAAAAGCAGGTTCAAATTCTACTCTATACAACTCAATGAAATTGTGATAGCCAGCATATATTGAACACTAATGAATGAAGGAATAAAACTGTTTTTATTGCTGATAAAGTATTGGAGAAGTCATCCATTGGGTAAATACTACTGCTCAACAACAAGCCATTATTCTATAAAAACTAGCTAGACTGTTCTCTTTATATGTAGTATTTCACTGTACTTCACAGTTCTAAAGATAGATGCAGTTAAATGTCCCTACAGTAGTTTAAGGAGATTATGTACTTTGCCCAAGGTTGCACAGTTAATGGTAGGTCATACTTGAACAAAGTCTTTATGCTCCTAAGCTTACGCTTTTGGCCTTAGTGCTAAAATCCACTCCAGTAGAGGTATTCCTTAGATTCCTAATCAAGGAAGTGATACCATGAAAATGACATTTGAGCAGGAGTATCTTTGCCGTTGTTTATAGGATAGATTAGAAGTGAGAATGAGTAGAATTGAGAAATAAGATAAAAAGATCTTGCATTAATCTAGAGTGGAGTATTTGGTTCCAAATGAGGTTTATAATTATATCTAGGAATGACAAAGGAGACAATCTAAGATTTGTTCTTATGAAGTAATTGGCAGAACATGGAGACCAATTTGTAATAAGGTGTGAAGAGGAAAAAAGGATAAAAATGTAATTACAAGATTTCAGTCTTAGGAGTTGGAGGTTTCTAGAAACTATACTTCTGATATGGAGAAAATAGAAAGTGCTCCTTTCTGCTGTGTGAAATAATAAACTCATAGTTAAAATTGTATGGGTGATTTGCCCAAGAATTAAGAGATTTGATTTAGGCAGTGTTTGTGTCTTTAGAAAGGGGCTTTAAACAAAAGGCTTAGGACTAAAGAGAAAGGGTTTACCCAGAAATATTAATTAGAACCGTGTGAAAGATTCTCTTGAATCTTGTTAATTTTAGTAAAAAAGTTTGCCAGTATGACAGAACTTCAGTGTAATGATCACTTAATAATTTTTAACGTAAAAGAAAAGGAAACTTTTTCTTTTCGTCTGTTGTTGTTGTTATGTGCCGTCAAGTGGTTTCCGACTCATAGCGACCCTATGCACAACAGCCCTAAACCCTGCTCTATCCTGCGCCAACCGCACTGCCTCTGACACACCCATCCCGATTTTCCCAGTCCCCGAATCAATCCATCTCATAGAGGGTCTTCCCCTCCTGCGTTGTCCCTCCACCCTCCCAAGCATGATGTCCCTCTCCAAGGACCCGTCCCTCCTGGCAACATGTCCAAAGTATGTCAGACGAAGCCCCAGAATCCTTGCCTCCAAGGAATAGCTTGGTTTAATGCTCTCCAAGATAAATCTGTTTGTTTTCCTGGCAGTCCATCTCCAGCACCACAGCTCAAAAGCATCCACTCTCCTTCTCTCCTCCCTAGTCATTGTCCAACTCTCTGATGCATAACAAGCGATTGCAAATACCATGGCCTGTATCAGGCGCACCTTAGTCTCCAGAGAGACACTGTTGTTCCTGAGTACTTTAGAGAGGTTCCTAGCAGCAGACTTTCCCATCGCGATAAGCTTTTTGATTTCCTGGCTGCTGGTGCCAAGAGTGTTGACTGTGGAGCCGAGCAAACTGAAGCTGTGAACAATCTCAGTCTCTTCGTCATCCATCCTGACGCTGCCAATTGGTCCAGTGGTGAGAATCTTTGTCTTCTTGACATTGAGCCTCAGTCCATACTGAAGGCTGCAGTCCTTGACCCTTCGCAGCAAGTGCATGAGGTCCTCCTCAGTTTCAGCAAGCAGGGTTGTGTCATCTGCATAAGGCAGATTGTTAATAGATCTTCCACCAATCCTGAGGTCACAATTCTCCTCATAGAGCCCAGCCTCTTGGATAATCTGCTCTGCATACATGTTGAAAAGGTATGGAGACAGGATGCATCCCTGGCGTACACCCTTCCCAATTTTGAACCATGCAGTGTTACCCTGCTCTGTTCTGACTACTGCCTCTTGGTCCAAGTGTAGGTTTCGTATTAGCACAATTAAATGTTCTGGGATTCCCATTCTTCTCAGAGTCAGCCACAGTTTGTTATGATCCACACAGTCAAATGCCTTTGCATAATCAATGAAACACAGATAGACATTCTTCTGGTATTCTCTGCTTTCAGCCAAGATCCATCTAACATCAGCAACAATATCCCTAGTACCACGACCCCTTCTAAACCCAGCCTGGACTTCCAGCAGTTCTCTGCTGATGTGCTGTTCTAATCGTTTTTGGATGATCTTCAGCAGAATCTTGCTTGCATGTGAAATCAATGATACTGTTCTATAGTTTCCACACTCAGTTGGGTCACCTTTCTTTGGAATGGGAACAAATATAGATCTCTTCCAGTCAGTTGGCCAAGTGGTTGTTCTCCAGATTTCTTGGCACAACTTGGTGAGCACATCCTGGGCAACATCTGTTATCTGAAATACTTCAATTGGTACACCATCTATTCCTGGGGCCTTATTTTTTGCTATTTCCTTCAAAGCAGCTTGAACTTCTTCCTTCATCACCATAGGCTCTTGCTCATATGTTATTTCTTTAAATTCCTCTGTATCTGCCAATTCCTTTCTATATAATGACTCAGTATATTCCTTCCATCTTCTTTTAATTCTTCCTGGATCATTTAATATTCTGCCCAAAGCATCCTTGATTACAGCAACTCTAGGTTTGAATCTGTTCTTCAGTTCCTTGAGCTTAAGAAATGCTGAGCGAGTTCGGCCCTTTTGATTTTCTGACTCTAGTTCCTCGCACATTTCATTGTAGTATTTTGCTTTGTCATTCCGAGCAGCCTTTTGGAATCTTCTGTTCAGCTCTTTAGTATCTTGAATTCTTCCTTGTGCTTTGGCTTCTCTACGCTCCAGTGCAATCTTCAGAGTTTCTTCTGACATCCATTTTGGTCTTTTCTTCCTCTTCTGTCTTTGTAATCACCATTTACACTCTTCCTGAATGATATCTTTGACATCCTCCCACAGCTCATCTGGTCTTCGCTCATTAGTGTTCAAGGCCTCAAACCTGTTCCTGAGATGATTCTGAAATTCAGGTGGTATGAAATCAAAGTCATATTTTGGCTCCTGTGGATTTGGTTTAATTTTCCTCAGCTTCAGCTTGAACTTGCATATGAGTAATTGGTGGTCTGTTCCACAATCATCTTTTCATCTAGCGAACAATTTTTCCTCCTTTCACAAGACTACATGGAGGAAAATAGAGAGATGTGTTTTTTGACACTAATAAAATCCAAAAAGTGATGGTTATGGGTAGAATACCTGAGATCCATATTAAGGATTCTTTAGAGAGTAGTGATTGATGAGGGATCAGAGGGGATCTTCAAGTGCAACCACGAACTGTGCTAGCTGTGGGAGAGAACGCCTGGGGATGGGCCAGCAGGAATGACTCTGTGTTGTCTGGCGGCCGTACCAAGGTCCTAACAGAGACTAAGCATTTGAGCTTTGTCATATGACTTTATAAACACAGAGTTAAGGTGTATACAATTCAAAGTGGAAAATACAGTTAAAAATTTTAACCTAGTTTATCAGGTAAGTTTTAAACATACATAAATTACTTACTTTTTTATATCAGTATTTTAAAAATGTTACTCTTTGCAAAGTAGGGTCTAAACAATAAACACACAGAAAAATTTCTCTCATTCCCAGTTACACTTTTTTTTCCCCTCATAAAGAAGAACGTGATCTTTTTATTCTGTGGGCAAACCCCCCCTAGTATCTCTTTAGTTACCCTAACAATATTTGCCCTGATAAATCTCAGTGATTTTTATGAAAGATTATTAATTTTGTTCTTTAATAAATGTAATAAATATGGAATCACTAAATAGTGGATAACCCCTTTGCTTTCTATTGACTTTGGTGACATTTTGATGGTTGCAGTTGTCTATTCATTGAGAGATCAGTGAATGCCTAGAATTTGTCTTACTAACAGGAAAGTAAGTTTACTACATTTCTTGTTGTTGTCCTTTGTAGGTGTGAAGTTTTTCAACATGAGTGGCCTCGGAGACAGTTCATCGGACCCTGCTAACCCAGACTCACATAAGAGGAAAGGATCACCATGTGACACGCTGGCATCAAGGTAGGATAACAGCTTTCTTTCTCTTCAGCAGAGCTGCATCTTTGCTTTCATTGCTGCTATAGAGCTTTTGTTGTTTCATGTAAAGTTTGCTGGCCTTTGAGTCCCTCAGCCTCACCATACCCTCTTCCCTTTGCTAAGCATTTGCTTTCTCTCAGACCGGTCAGTTGACTTTTGATTTCTAATAGTACCTTATATATCCTCTGATGACAGCATTGTTGTCACTTTCTATAAAGAACATCCATTCTCTTCCTTCTGTAAGGATTAGGTTGAGTCTCCCTTATTTGCCTCTCTCACATATTTTTTAATAGTTCTGATTCATAATTACCGATTTTTAACTAGTTTGTGTGATTATTTTAGTTGCCTCTTCTCTAGACTCAGACTGCAATAAGCAAGGGACTTTGGTTTTTTCCTTTTCTTTTTTTTTTTAAATTCATTCACTGTTGCTAGTTTTCCTCCTTCCCCCTCCTTTTGGGACTTTGTTTTTTCTTATTCACCATTGTATTCCAAATCCCTAGCAAAATGTTGGGAGTAGATATGGTAAAAATGGAAAACTTCACTGTCATTGAGTCAAAGCCAACTCAAGGTTAACCCTCCAGCAGGTTTACTGAGGCTTTGAAATGCGCAGCAGGAAATTGCCCTTCTTTCTCATTTGGAGCGGCTGGTGAATGTGAACCTCACTTTCTGTCTTGGCAGCACAGCTCCCTTCCCACTAGGCCTCCAGAGGGCCATATATAGGAAAGATCAGGAAGTATTGCCAAATGAGTGAATCATTAAATCTGTTGGTCATCATTAATTGTACCGAAGAACGTGATAGTTCTGAAAGAATTAAGTTCTCTAAGTAGAACTTAAAAATAACTGTTTTTTTAATATTAAGGTTTTTTAAAAGGCTTGTGTGACTAATTATTTTCTTAGAAATGTGACTACCTTAACTCAAAAGTCAACCCTATTACAGTTGAGTTAATCCCAACTCATGTTGTTGTTGTGTGGTGCTGTTGAGTTGACTACATAATGACCCTGTGAACAATGGATCTGAACCTTGCCTTCTTCTGCACCGTCCTGACAGTCTCTGGTATGCTGGTGCCCAGCTCATAACAAGCCTGTATGACATGATAGAGCTGTGCCAAAGGTTTCCTGGATCCTGATGATTTATGGAAGCATCCTGCCACATCTTTCTCCTACAGAAAGCTCTTAGCACCAGCCTTTTGGTTAGAAACTGAGTGCTTAACCACTGTGCCACCAGGGTTCTTCGTGATTACTTTAAGCAGGCTGAAAAAGACTAACAGGTATCAGATACAGAAGGGATCTCGATTGGATCAGAAGGACCACTTTCTATCTGAGAGCAGAAGAGAAGCTATTTTCTTCCACTGATTGAGGATCCTGGAGTATGATTTTTCAGCCTCTGAACTATTGATATTTTTATATTTTGGGCTAGAAAATGATTTGTGGAGTGGCAAATCTGTATATAAGAGGGTGTTTAGCAGTATTCTTGGCCTGCTACACACCAGATGACAGTAACATCCCACCTGTGATAAGCAGATAAGCAGAGATGTCCCTAGACATTGCCAAATATTTTCTGAGGGCTTGGGGAGCAAATTTGGTCTAAGTTGAGAATCACTGATCTAGACAGTGAAGACTCTTTAGTTGTTTGGATTGCATGCTGCTTTCTCACAAAAGGTAAAGTATCAGGACTGCTAGCCACACTCAAGTGGTTTGCATTTACCAGCCTCTCAAAAGGAAAGATGGAGAAGTGTGGACTCCTAAGTCTGATGCCCATTTGAACTTTGCCATGGGCTGGGGATGAGTTAACCAGAACTCAATCAAGTGAAGAGAAGATGATTCATGCTGGGAGCTAGTGCAGGTTGCTGCAGCCTAATGGCTTACTCTGGATTGGATTGGGCTTTGAATAGAAAGGATCCATTAGCTAAAGGGATGAATTTTCCCCTCAAAGTGCTGGTTTGATGGGGGATAGGCAAGTCAGCAATTAGCTGTCTAAAAGATATTATGTGACATGAAGCATGAAGTAGATGGCTTCTATGCTTTCATGAAAGTAGTTGTTGGTGTGATATTGTAAGAGGGAAAATTAAACATGCCCACAATGTGAAGGAACAACATTTAATGTGAATGAAGAACTGTATGGAACATAATATGCTTATATGAAACACAATATATATGAATGATAAAAATATAAATTAAAAAAAAGGAAAAATATATTTACAGCCCTGGAAATCCATTAAGAGGGTCACTGTAAGTTGGAATGGATTGTGACATTAAGTGACTGTATCGAAGGCATCTGCTAGAGAAAGACTTTGTTTCTCATAATTGGCTTAGAAACCTTTTATAGAGCGATGATGTTAAATTTTGTATGCATCATTTAAAGTGCTGACTAAATTTGCATAAGTGATACAGAACTGTGTACACAGATCTACTTGGGGCCCTAGTGATGCAGTGGCTAAAACACTTGACTACTAATCAGAAGGTTAGCAGTTTGACCCTGCTAGCTCCTTTGTGGATAAAAAAAATGTGGCAATCTGCTTTCATAAAAATGAAACCCAAAAAACCCAAATCAGACCCATGCTCTTGAGCCAATTCTGACTCCTCTTTGGCCCTTTAGGACAGAATGGAACCACTCCATCAGATTTACAAGACTGAAAATATTATTGTGGAGCTGCTAATGAATTCAAGCTGCAAATCTTTCAATTAGCAGGCAGACACTGAATCTACTACGCCATAGACTTAGAAACCTTATGGGGCAGTGCTGCTTTGTCTCTAGGGTCATGATAAGTCGGAAACCACTTGATGAGATGCGTTTGATTTGGTTTATACTGATTTACGTTTTTATACATTTTTCAGTATAACTTTTGAGATACATACCTAAAATTATTCCTATTGACTTTTGATTAGTATTGTATTACATAAATATACCACATTTGAAAATGCGTTCCTCTATTAACACGTGTACTGCAGCCAGCGGCCTCATATGCACTTCCTATTACATATGCGCAGGTGTTGCTTTAGGCGCTCTCATGCTTTTATGTTAATTAGGTAATTCCCACATTACTTTCCCAGTGACAGCCAGGAAGAGTTCCTGTGTTTCCACATCCTTGCTAACCCTATTGTGTTTTCATTTTAACTATTGGCCAGTCTAATGGATAGGTGCATTGTACTGTTAACTACATTTTCTTGGTTATTGGATAAGTTGGTCATCATTTTATAAGGTTTTATTGACCCTTGTGAGTTCTTCTTTTGTGAATTTCTTGCCCATGTTTCTATTGGATTTTCTTATTCTTTTTTAGTTCTTAAAAGGTATTTTTCCCCCATTTTCTTGGTACTAACCTATATTTTCTTTGTTTGGTTCCTCTTTATTTGATACACATCTACTTTGACTCTTAGATGCCTTAATATTCAGAATTTTTAAGTTTTACTTGTCAGTATTTTAGAATCTTGATAGAGGTTTTTTTCTTTTCTTATAAGTCCTTAAGTGCCAATTTTATATTTTTTGATCTAAATTTAGAGTTTTAATTAATCTACTCTTTGCTTTTTGTATGATATGATGTAGGAACCTACTTCCACTCCACCCCCTACTTCCCACCTGCACCATATAGATAGTAGTAGTCTTGGTGCTGTTTTTGTTACACTTATCATAGACCTAAAAAAATCTCTCAAAATCATTTCCATTGATTTAGCGGCAACTCAGAGTTGATGCTCCCATGTGTTTTCTGAGGCTGTATCCCATGGGATCTAATTACCCATCATTCTCCTGGTACCATAGACCATGCTCAAAAATATGTGGAATTCTGACTGAGTTTTCGCCTAAGACTTGATATCTATCTGATGGATCCAGCCCCTCATCTTTGTTATTCTTCAAAATTCTTTTATCTTCTCCCTTTATTCTCTCTCTTGAATTTATCCTTTAAATTATTTTTTTTAAATTATGCATTGATATTTGTCAACATATGTTGCTACATATACTTGCTAGTAAAGTTGTAAGATAAAAGTTTTCCTAAATAAAATGGGCCTAATTCCTCAGTAATGAAGATTTTAAAGATAGAATATATGATTGTCATTAAAATTTTATTTTGATTTTTTTAGTGTATACCACTGAGCATTTTATGTAGGTAAATTCATTTGATTAGTTGATTTGGTTCTTTTCAACTTCATACGATATTGGGTAGTTTGTTTTGCTTCTTTTTTTTCTGTTTGAAAGTAAATTATATTCTTGGCAATTATGAACATTATTTCCTTCTCATGCTTTTTCTACTACTTTTGTATGCAGCCAAGTGGCTTTGATTACTACTTATAAAACAAAAAGTTACTGGTTAATCCAATGCCTTTGCCAAATAAACTAAAGATAAAGACTGGGAAACAAAAGTCAGTAATATTTATTGAGTATATTCAAATGTTTAAAAAGAAAGGTAACTATTTGTGTTACTATTAATTATCTTACTATTTTACTTTAAGAGAAATCAAATTTTATTTATTGCATGTATAA